TACTTTGATGTTAAGTTGTGTCATTTTTGTTCAATGAACAAATGATCTTAGGTTTATGTGTATTGTATCCAAGCATTAAGCGTTTTGAAAATAAAGCAATGAGCCCCAAGAAGCCGTGGTTTACAGTGAATTTATAACAGTTTCGCGTCGTGCCTAACAACGCCCCTTAGCTGTTATAAATTCACTGTAAACCACGGCTTCACAGGCTTATTGCTTTTATAAAACGGTTATTCCATATATGTAGTAAGGTTTCACAAAATAAAACAGCAAATAAAGTGTAATGATATTAATAAAAACAGTATTCTTCCACCAAACAATGTAGTTCGTCAGAAACAGTTGTGGTTCCAACAAAGTGGTTGCCAAGCAACACACAAAGTAAACAAAGGTGTATGTTTGTAGAGTAATTTACAACAGCTTCGAACGTGGCTCAACCAATCAGAATCAAGGACCGGAACTATCCGTTTTATAATCTACACTTTTGTAACATTTTATTTTTTCTACCTTTTTTATGTTAATTAACATTTCTTTGCACGCAGTTTAGTTTACATGAACATATTCCACCACCAATTCTTTGACCCTACTAAAGCAATAAGCCCCAAGAAGCCGTGGTTTACAGTGAATTTATAACAGCTAAGGGGCGTTGTTAGGCACGACGTGAAGCGGGCTTTTTGCTTTTAGAAAACGGTCATTCCCATATATGTAGTAAGGTTTCACAAAATAAAACGGAGCAAATAAAGTGTAATGATTTACATTATTTTATTAATAAAAACAGTATTCTTCCACCAAACAATGTAGTTCCTCAGAAACAGTTGTGGTTCCAACAAAGTGGTTGCCGAGCAACACACAGAAGTATACAAATGTGTATGTTTGTAGTGTAATTTACAACAGCTTCGAACGCGGCTCAACCAATCAGAATCAAGGACCGGAACTATCCGTTTTATAATGTACCTTTGAGAAGTAATGTGAATTTGCAATTGAAATGAGTTGTGATTCCAACATATTAGGCACTGCCTCCTGAACAGCTTCTGTAGCTTTGAAACCAAGTGGAATGTTAGTAGAGTTAAGTTGATCAAGTACAACATCTACCCTACATCCTCCTTACTACCTCGCCACAATTATGTGGGCCAAATTACTGAGTGTTGAATAATAAATATGGCCGGTGTTGTGTTAATGTGCTCATTCTTGTGACTATGCACATGATCGACTTGTTTTTGCAGTTAAGTTTTAATAATTTTCAGTGTGGGCAGGGGAGGGAGGGAGCTTTGCATTGTTAAGGTTTCATTTCAAAAGAGCAAAGCAAATCCTGTTTTCGATGATAAAACCCTTTTAAAAGTTCAAAGCACTCTTTTTGGTCTCGGAGTCCTCACTCTCTCATTGCTACAGCAGAGTTAGAGTATAGAACCCCCTGGTTTCCTTTTAGATCTTCCAAGTAGGAGTAAACTAGAGTTAGACTCCTCATTGGAAAAAATGATCTTTTCCTTTTGATGCCAGCATCCTTTTCTTTTGAAACCACCTCTTTCATTGCACACCTGTACTTTGTTTTCTGTTCTTCATCTCTCCATTCTCTCCTGCCTTGTTTTCTTGATTTTAGCACCTTCCACATTCCATATTCGCAGACTTGATTTTTATGCTGGTAAGACATACTGTATGGTTAAGTCTCTGTGAGAGTTTATGTGTGCACATGTAACACTACTGTTCAGAAACGTTTGCGGCATGGTAAGATTTTTTCATGCATTTGAAGAAAGTCTCCCCAAGGCTGCATTTAATTTATCACAATTAAATGTAAAATAAACATTTATTTCTGTTATGTTAAAGCTGAATTTTTCTTTATTTTTAATTATTGTATTTTTTTTTTGTTTACTTTTTATGGTCGATTTTTTTATTAGCAACTTTATTATTATTATTAGTGTTGAAAACAGTTGTGCAGCTTAATATTTTATTAGCAACTTTATTATTATTATTAGTGTTGAAAACAGTTGTGCAGCTTAATATTTTATTAGCAACTTTATTATTATTATTATTAGTGTTGAAAACAGTTGTGCAGCTTAATATTTTTGTGGAAACCATTATACATTTTTACATTGGGAATGTAATTCTGAATATAAAATTCAAAAGAACAGGCATTTATTTGAAATGGATTCTTTTTTTGTAACAATGCGTAATCCTTTACTGTCACTTTTGATCAATTCAATGCATCCTTGCTAAATAAAAGTATTAATTTATATATCTTTTTAAAAAATCATACAGCCTTCAAACTTCTGAATTGTAGTGTGTGTGTAAAATGCATTTTTAATCATTAGCCTCTGTGAGTGAGTACAGCTAGGGACTTTCAGATAGAAAAAGCAGTTCATTCTTGGTTTATAGCTTGTTGAAGAATACATTTGTTGAAGCCGAAGGAGAGTAAATGTTTACTGGGTTAAATTCGTGACAAGGTAAGATGAAATTAAATCCGTCAACTCACGCTTGTTGTTTCCCCAGAGCATGAGAAGCTGAGGTTGTGTAAAAGTGCGGACTACATGAATCTGCATTTCAAAGTCAAATGGCTCTACAACGAATACGTCCATGACCTGCCCGCCTTCTCCGACACCGTCCCAGAGTACCCATCGTGAGTCACACTCTTCCAGAGCATCTTTAGCTACACTTTTCTCTCTTTTCTTCAAATAACCTGCAGTTTGTTCTTCTTTTGAGTAGGTTAATGTTCTCACACACACACTGTCATCACCTACAGTCTCAAATCGACTGGGATCCCTAGTTGATGCTTTCCTCTGTTGTTTAAATGCTCTTGACCACTTGCTGCTTCGCTGCCCTCCTGCTTTATTCCTCCTCCTGTTTCTCTACATTTCTTTTTCATTTCCCATCTGTAGGTGGTTTCTGCCATTTGTTCTCCAGTGGCTGGCTGAGAATGAGGAAGTGTCGATGGAGTTTATGCATGGAGCCCTTGAGAGGGATAAAAGAGAGGGGGTATGGTTCAGAAACTGCTGTATAACCTTTCTGTGTGGTCCGCTGTCTTATATATGGCTTCTTCGCTCTTGGTCTACCAGGCTTTAAAACAAGCCTTGTCAAACAAAATTGCTGCTTGCTGTCTACTATCTGTTAGAGGGATGATTTTTCTCCAAATTGCTAGATGTTTTCTTTTAGTTATGTAAAGGGCCAATTTAAATGGTTTTGAGAAATGCTTTCTACAATGCGTTCATCATTTATTTATTTATATATTGTATAAAATACAATATATTGTTCAAAATTTGTAAAATAAAAAAATATATATATAAAAATGTTTTTTGAAAGAAGTGTCTTATGCTCTCCAAGGATCCATTTATTTGATCAAATATATGGTGAAAATACTTATATCGTGAAATATTATCACAATTTAAAATAACTGTTTTCTATTGTGATATATTTCAAAATGAGATATGTTTCTTTTCCTCTGATGGCAAAGCTGAATATGCTGATTTGGTGCTCAAGATTTTTTTTTCTGCTTAAAATATTTTTGTGGAAACCGTGATGCATTTTTTAAGTTCAAAAGAACCACATTTACTTAAAACAGAAATCTTTTGTACCATTGTAAATGTTTTTTTTGTTGCTTTTGATCAATTGAATGCATCTTTGCTGAATAAAAGTATTAGTTTCCTTTTAAAATAAACAGCTCTTTTGGGCCTTGTCTCATACTTTCAATCCTAAAATATGTAAATACATCATAAATATATGAGCATTTCATGTTTTAAACTATGATAATATAAACAAAGACTGAATTTGAATGTGTATTGTGTTAAAATATCTATTTTTATTAGTTTCCACCACAAACCATTTTGCCCCAATTTTCCCCCCTGAAAATTAAAGCAAGGGCATGCCTAAGATGAAATGTGATTTGTGAAGAAAGCATAAAAAAATCAAGTTTCATATTTTTAGCATAATTTCTAATCAACATGTAATTTTGTCAAATTATGCAAAAAGGTGTAAAAATATGATTTATTTCTGTGTATTTAGGATTCATACAATTTTGTTGTTCATTGCACAATTCTCATGACATTTGGATGACATTAAGTAGAAATATTCAATAAAAACAAACAAACAAAAAGTTCCCGTAGCTAAAGAAACATCTCCGACTAAAAATCTCTCCTGTCATTTCCACAGTTCCAGCAGACATCTGAGCATGCTCTGTTCTCCTGTTCGGTCGTGGACATCTTCACTCAGCTCAACCAAAGCTTTGAAATCATTAAGAAACTAGACTGTCCTGATCCTGCAGTGGTTGCCCAGTACAATCGACGATTTGCCAAGGTGAAGATCAACAGACCTAAACCCTACTATATACTACATTCAAAAGACGTTTCCAGAGAAACTGGAAAATAGACAAGCAGAGACTGACAGAAAGATAATAGACGGAAAGTCGAGGCAAGAGAAATATAAGCTGCTGGCACACAGAGTGTTTGTCTTTAGACCATCACCATCGGTTTCTCAGCCTGTGAGTCATATCTAACTTAGACGTCTGACGCAGAGACATCTTTGTTGAAGCCTACACAGGTTTTGTAGGAGCTGAGATGCATTTACATTTCATTCGATTTTAGTAAAGACAGTGACTAAATACTAAATACAGTTATCTGACATGATCGTAATCATGGCATTTTTATCGGTAGTCAGCATATTGAGGTCTATTTCAGGGAACAAAACAGCAACTTAATGCATCTTCAACAAAGTCCATTTGTTTTCAGACTACCAGTTCAGTACAAGGTGTAGTTCATTTACTCTACATACCATTTGTGACCCTGGAGCACAAAAGCAGTCTTAAGTCGCTGGGGTATATTTGTAGCAATAGACAAAAATACATTGTATGGGTCAAAATTATCGATCTTTCTTTTATGCCAAAAATCATTAGGATATTAAGTAAAGATCATGTTCCATGAAGATATTTAGTAAATTGCCTACCGTAAATATATCAAAACTTAATTTTTGATTAGTAATATACATTGCTAAGAACTTCATTTGGACAACTTTAAAGGCGATTTTCTCAATATTTTGATTTTTTTGCACCCTCAGATTCCATATTTTCAAATAGTTGTATCTCAGCCAAATATTGTCCTATCCTAACAAACGACACATCAATGGAAAGCTTATTTATTCAGCTTGTATAAGCTGATGTATATGTATAAATCTCAATTTCAAAAAATTGACCCTTATGACTGGTTTTGTGGTCCAGGGTCACATTTAGGTGTAATAGTGTTCTTTCTTTTCCTTTTCCCCCTTTCTCAATCAGACTATCACCAAAGTGCTCCTGCAGTATTGTGCTATTCTAACCAAGAGTTTCCCCTCTTACTGTGAGAAAGAAAAGACGGTGAGTGTTAACAAGCACACAAACACTATATTTGTACCCAATTTTTGAACTCACGTCTGTTAACATGCATTAAGAGTCCAAGTAGGTCTAAGTTCTGTCTCTCTACATGTGTATATTTATTTTTCCTTGTGCTGTTCGCTCTTTCCTGCCTCTGCTGCAGCCCTGTGTGTTGATGAACAACGTTCAACAGATGCGTGTGATGTTGGAGAAGATGTTTGAGTCAATGGGAGCCAAACAGGTAAGTGAAATATGAAGTTATTACCGGCCTTTTAAGCTTTTTTTTTTTAAACTGTCTACAGATACAGCACTACAAAAACGTTCTGTGGTGGTACTATTGTAAACTGACATATAACAGGGAAGAAGCCATTCAAATGTCCAGGAAACTATGGTTACCAATGGTACTTTTTTGTTTGTGCAACAAAAATGTGGTGCCTTATAAGGTACACTATCGTTCAAAATTATGGGTTTGTGAAGATTTTTCTTACAATTTTGAAAGACGTCTCTAATGCTGACTAAAACTGCATTTATTTGATCAAAAATACAGTGAAAACGGTAATATTACAAAATAAATTATTAAAATGTACAATAACTCTTTCTGTTTTAATATATTTTAAAATACAATTAATTTTTGTGAGGTCAAAGCAGCCTTTACTCCATTTTTTTATGTCGTCTTATCAAAGAACAGCATTTCTTTACTGTCCCTTTTTTATCAATTTAATGCTTCCTTTCTAAATAAAACTAAAAACAATCTTACAGACCTTTAACATTTGAATGGTAGTGTACCTCATTTAGCCAAAATCTAAAATAGCATCACGTTACCTCAGGATGCACCGAATTACTCTGAATTTGTGTGTAATTTTTATGCTGCTTAGAGTATCGAGTTATTTGCTCGTGTAACTGGAGAAACTGAAGTGTATGGTTTTGGTTTGATGACGCTGGGCCTGCTGGCATTTTGTGCATGATATACTTGTGGTGAGCAATGAACTGAATGTTTATTATCTGTCATGAGTTCGTCCAAATGTTCCACATCTTTTTGGAAATACTGGTGAATCATCTGCTGCATTTCTATTTTTTTGACGTCAGTGTGTTTTTTGTTGCATTTTTCTGTAGATATGTGTGTGTGGTGAATGTTTATAGTAGCTGAGCTAACCATATGCATTTTATTTGTGTATAGTGTACTGTTGAGGAAGAGCGGGTAGGTGAAGCGATGTATTTTTGAGATAGATTATCCCTATAAACCCTCTGTGTGGTTTGTGTGCCTTAGTAGGTGTTGTGTTTAGACTCTTTCACTAGGTTGCAGTGCCCTTTTTGCACCACCTTATGCCACCCAAATTATTCAGCCCTCTGCAGTGTTGTTCTCTTAGTATAAAATCCCTAAATCACTTTAACGTTGATCTCTATTTTCACTCCCAGCTGGAGAATGAGGAGGAGCCTGAGGATGATGAGGAGGAGGTGTGTTGAGAGTGTTTATGGATAGGGTCCAAAATGAACTGCTAATTACCTGCCAATCATAAGTGAATTGAGAAAATTTAAATTTAGAAAATTATGGTCCATCGTTTTTATTATGGTGCTTGGCCGCATTTAATATTTTGGTCTTCTAAACTATCATTTAAACATCTTCCAGTTAGACAAAGATGTGTGTTTGTGTATGCAAATGCGAATGTAGTCTTGTTTGAGTGTATGTGTTTAAAGCTAAGGGTTTTTTTTTTTGGTCTCCCTCTGCTCAGGCCATCACTGATGATGAAGGCAATGAGGTCTGTACACTCAACACTGCGGTAAAGAGGAGTGTGTGATGCTATGAATGTGTGTGTGTGTGCGCGCATGTGGGAGTTTTGCCAGATTTTGTGTAAATCAACAAGGCAGTGAAAGTCTTCTGCTACTACCTAGCACCTTCTTTCTTTTTTGTTCTTTGTTTTCACTATTACTCATCTTGTTCTTTATTTTTCATTACCAGTCGGATGAATCAGATGCTAAGGTGAGAAGCAGGCATACGTCTCACCTGATGTGCTTCTTTATGAAGCTGTTTATCAAACATATGAAACATTATAAATGGCTGTTCACACTGACAGAGATATGCAGTGACAAAGCGACCGGATGCAATACAGCAATTACCATACAGTTTATGCTTACTAGCACACTGACAGTACAGCGACTTCTTAGCACTGAGATTTTCAACAGAGCAGATAGTTGCACTACAACTAAAAGGTTTGGGGTCATTGAGTTAAAAAAATAAATATATATAATATATATATATATATATATATATACACATACACACACACACACCCTTCTTTCTTTGATTGAACATTTGGGCGGCGTTATGCAAATCTTCCCACATAGTGACGTAGACATGTGGGGGCGTGTTAGAACGAGCCGTTTTAGGTAGGCGTGGTTGACTCTTAACTTTTATAAAGAATATCTCTTTGGATTTGAGACTTTAGTCTTTGCAACTTTACAGATCTTCTTTATGCACCAAAAGCTTGTAACACTCCAAAGAGAAAGGACAAATTGAAATCGCATCATATGACCCCTTTAATAAATATAAAGTTCCAAACAACAGCCTATTTTTTTTTAAATGGAAGTTTGTTTGTTTTTGTTACCATTGAAGTCTTTGCTCTCATTTTTGATCAATTTAATACATATTTTCAAAATAAACTTAATTTCTTTTCCAAACACAAATAAAATCTTACTGAGCCCAAACCTTTTAACAGTAGTGTAAGTGAAGCTGCATTTATTATTTTATTTTTTAAATTTATTTATTGATTTTTATTTTATTTTATGTGCGTCATTGTTTTAATTGTTTACTTTATTATTTTTGTCTGACTTATGTATCTTCGTTTTTTCCATCAGTCTGGCATTTCAGATTCAGAAGGATCAGAGGTATGTTAAGAGATCATAGTCAGTGCTTTTTAAAGATGGACTAAAATCAAAAGCTCGGCTGATATACAGTACAGTCATCTGTCTGGTTTTCATTTACTCGTTCATTCATGTTTTGTTTTTGTGAAATGTATTTAGAGATTGTGACAGACTAAAGAAAATACAGGATTTGGCGAGTAAATGAGGACAATGTTCGTTTGTCTGTGTTCTAAACTGTCTCTTTAAGACTTTAGGTAGTTAGTATCTGATAGAGCAGATGGGTCTTTAGATTGCAGTCACACACATTAAAGCCTAATTGACCCATTAAAGGCAGAGTAAGTGATTTCTGGTAGCCAATGTTGATATTTGAAAACACCAAAACAAACATGCCCCTACCCCAAAAGGGTCTTGCCCCTATTTTGATAGCTCCGCCCCACATATACGTACGCAACCCAGGCAACGATTAGTTCTGTGAAACAAAGCAAAACCAATGTTACACCATGTCTACGGACGTGAGTGGCGCGGCGCTTTTCATTCAGACCAACCCGAAAAAACCAACAAGTGGGCGGGCAATATGTTAATGTTTCATGTTGACCTCAACATGAAACGTCTTGGGATTCGTTTTAAAAACGACTCGTTTCAATGATTCAGAGTCGACTCTTTCTTTTGAGAGACAACTTTATACACGGTGCACTTTCAGATTTAAAACTCGGCTGGATGTTTTCATTCACGTAGAGCTGTGTTACACACTGCATGAAAGGTAATTTTCAAAAATCCATAATAGGGGCACTTTAATTGGAGGTGAGTGAGTACTCTGTGTGATGTGTCCTGTGGAGTTTGTGTTCTAGACGCCAGCTGTGATGTTAATTCATTCAATGTTAATTCATTCAGCATCATTACATAATACAGGCTAATTAAAACACAGCTCCACATCGTGACTGAACTGCAGGGTTACACCATGAAATATCTGGAAAGTCCGTTGAATAGAAATTACCTTTCAAATCGTACTGTAGGGGTGAATTCACCAAACAGTTGATGCACTTTTGAAGGAATTGTTCACCCAAAAATCAATATTTGCTGAAATCTACTCCCCCCTCAGAGCATCCAAGATGTAGTTGAGTTTGTTTTTTTATTGACGGATTTAGAGAAATTTAGCATTACATGACTTGTTCACCAATGGATCCTCTGCAGTGAATGGGTGCCGTCAGAATGAGAGTCCAAACAGCTGATAAAAACACCACAATAATCCACACCAGTCTATTAATGAATGTCTTGTGAAGTGAAAAGCTGCGTGTATGTGTGAGAAACAAATCCATCATTGAGGCATTATAAGAATCCATAATAAAATTTCCTCCAGTTGTCACGAATCAGTTATGTTTTTATCAGCTGTTTGGCGATTCGTTCTGACGGCATCCATTCACTGCAGAGGAGTTGGTGAACAAGTGGTGTAATGCGATTTTAGCAGGTTGCTATTTTAAATCGGTGGCACACTGGACTGTAATTGGAGAATGTATGATTTATTTTTATTTGTAGATTGACAACAAAGAAAAGGAGAATAAGGTTGGTTTTGTAAAGATAAAAGTCAACCCATTTGACTTCAGTGGCTGTATTGTGTGTTGTGAAACCCTGTTGGTTGTGTACCTTTCACTAGTTTGTATCGTGCTCCTGTGATTGTGGTTTAGATTGTGGTTATCTTGTTGCAACGTTTTTTGATCATGGGCCGTCTTTTATTCCCATAGTTTCCTGTCCACCCTCAAGTATTGTATAAAAAGTGTTCAAATAATGATAGTTAACTAAAGATTAGTTTTGGGACCGTGTTGCCAATCAAAAGAACTGAATTAGAACAGCAGCAGTTTTCGGCTCAGCAGGCACTCTTCTAGTGACGGCACCTAAATGTGAGTGCTTTGCTTTGTGTTATTGCGTCCAGGCATTTTTAAAGCCAGACATGTACAGACATTTTTCAATTAATTCTGCATTTTAAAGATGACGCTGTGAAGTCGTGGTTAGGCCAGTTTTTCAATCCACTCTGTGTAGCTGTTTTTAATGCACAAGTGCATCCTATGTGAATGGCCCCTTGAGCATTGGGCTGCTCCTGTTCAAAATTTCAACTTCCTTCTCTCCGTCACCCTCACCCCCTGCCATTCATCCATCTGTTATTGACTGTTGTTTCTCCTTTCATCTGCATGTACAGCTTGACAGGCAGAAGGTGGGTTTGTGTGAGCTAAATGCTTTAGTTTGATGTATGACAGTTGTAGTGAAGTAGTCAGTGTCGTCGTATCAGATACTTTGAGCAGATGAATCAAATATTTAGGGAGCCAGATTCTTCTCTTCTATTTAACTTCTTCCTCTTATTACCCGGTAGAATTATTTCTCTAGATTCTTCTTTCCTTCCCTTCCATTCTGTGTGCGGAAGATATTGTGGTGTTTGAGTTCATCTATGTGCATATTTGCGTTTCGTAGCTCTTTAAACTTTTTCTTTGTTGGCTTTCATTCTTATTGTCTTTTTGTTCATTCTTTCTTTCTGCAGTCTGTTGCTAAGAAAGAAAAGGTGTGTGCACCTACATTATTTTGTAATATTGGTACTTAAAGCCTCTGTGTGTGTGTGTATGTATACAGTATATAATGCACCTAATGTCTATGGTGGTCACAGCCCTGGGGATGAATATGAGTACTCTGAAGTGACAGCAATAATCAATCAAAAACAGCTCGATGGAGTGCAGCTAAAGGCATGAAATAGAACGTAAAGTCTTGAGATGACTTTTTAAAAGTTTAACTAGTTCACACTATCCTAATAACGCAGTGCTTGGGTTGCAAGATGCTGTAAAAAACATTGCGCTGCATGTAGCTCATAGACAAACAATTACAAAAATTGTGCGGAAAAAATAAAGTAGCTTCATTATTTTGAAGTGAAAAGTTCAAGTTCGACCCCTGGAGTAAGATGCCACCCACAGAATATACACAAGCATATGGTCCCCAGTGGCATGTTTTTTGCTAGTGTTTTATTGAGATTTTGTAATTCCATGTATAAGATACATTTCAAACATAAACTTTATCATAATCTTTAGGCCATTTGGGTGGAATTATTAAATCTGAATTTATTGTTTCTTTCAATTAAAACTATATTATAGTGTAATAGAGATGTAACTCTTTTGACAATACTTTCAAAATGCATAAATATACACATAATACACTAACATATAAGTTTGGGGTCAATAAGAGATTTTTTTTGTATACGTTTATGCACACTGAATTAATCAAAAGAGACAGTAAAGACATTAATAATGTTACACAAAAAAACTGAAGAAATGTATCATGGTTACCACAAAATATTAAGCAGCACAACTGTTTTCAACATTGATAATAATAAGAACTGATTTCTTTATTTAATGCTTTTTTTGTGCAGCAAATCTGTTTCAGAAGATTTGTTAAAGATTGTTAAAATTTATTAGAATGCATTATGTTCATGTTCATGGACACTGAAGACTGGAGTAATGATGCTGAAAATCCAGCTTGCATGACAGAAATAAATTACATTTTTAATTATAGTTATTTAGAAATATTTACTGTATTTTACTGTATTTTTTATGAAATAAATGCAGCTTTGGTAATCACAGAGAGATGTCTTTCAGAAACATTTAAAAATCTTACTGACCCCAAACTTAGTGAAACAGTAGTGTATTTGATTTAGTATTATTCATATATATAACTAATAATTATAGATATGGTTATAGTTATAGTTATGTATATATTATGTATATTTTAACATAGTCATTAAACATGTAAACATATTTTGCATCTGCCCCAGGTTCGGGATCATCTTCATGATGTTAATGTTTAGCTATAACAACTAAATTAGCAAATGTTTGCATTTATTTCCCTTAATGTATTGAATAATGCATCATTATATGTGCTCATTTAGATTTAGCTTGTAAGTGCCTATAGTTTCTATCTTGTGTGTTGATTTGTGTATGTTTCTTACTGTTTTCAACATTGATAATAATAAGAACTGATTTCTTTATTTAATGCTTTTTTTGTGCAGCAAATCTGTTTCAGAAGATTTGTTAAAGATTGTTAAAATTTATTAGAATGCATTATGTTCATGTTCATGGACATTGAAGACTGGAGTAATTATGCTGAAAATCCAGCTTGCATGACAGAAATAAATTACATTTTAAATTATAGTTATTTAGAAATATTTACTGTATTTTTAATGAAATAAATGCAGCTTTGGTAATCACAGAGAGATGTCTTTCAGAAACATTTAAAAATCTTACTGACCCCAAACTTAGTGAAACAGTAGTGTATTTGATTTAGTATTATTCATATATATAACTAATAATTATAGATATGGTTATAGTTATAGTTATGTATATATGTATATATTATGTATATTTTAACATAGTCATTAAACATGTAAACATATTTTGCATCTGCCCCAGGTTCGGGATCATCTTCATGATGTTAATGTTTAGCTATAACAACTAAATTAGCAAATGTTTGCATTTATTTCCCTTAATGTATTGAATAATGCATCATTATATGTGCTCATTTAGATTTAGCTTGTAAGTGCCTATAGTTTCTATCTTGTGTGTTGATTTGTGTATGTTTCTTGATTTATGTGTTTGTTTCCATGTTCTGGCATCAGGGGGAAAAGAAGGACAAAGAGAAGGAGGTTTGTGCACACACACACACACACACGCTGTTTGTCTGTGGTAGTGTTGCCTTATAGTCTCTGGATCAACTGGACTCTGTGTGATATTGAATGTAATTTTGTTTCTCTGTCTCAAGGATGAGAACACGACCACAGAGGTGGGTGATGGAGCTGAGGTAATAAGCTGATGCACGTCTGTGGGTGTGTGTGTGTGTGTGTGTGGTGCTTTCTAAAACATGATAGAACAAGTTTGTGTACACACACACACACACACACACACGCTGTTTGTCTGTGGTAGTGTTGCCTTATAGTCTCTGGATCAACTGGACTGTGTGATATTGAATGTAATTTTGTTTCTCTGTCTCAAGGATGAGAACACGACCACAGAGGTGGGTGATGGAGCTGAGGTAATAAGCTGATGCACGTCTGTGGGTGTGTGTGTGTGTGTGTGTGGTGCTTTCTAAAACATGATAGAACAAGGTCTCATTAGTGTGAGGAGCAAGTGTGTGTATAAAATCTGATGGGAAGGAGAGATGTGTGCTGTTAGGCTGTGATCCTGTCCGCAGGACTCCGGCACCTCATTGTCAGAGTCTTGTTTTTAGGTGGAATAGGATTCTTGTGCCCTGATGTGACATAAAAACAATTACCCATAATGCAAAGCTTAAGTAATGATGTGCCTTAGGCAAATGATATGATTTAGCTGTTGTCAGTGAATAAACGATCATTGTTTTGGTAAACACAGTAACAGATGCTTATTAAACTTTTTTCTGCTGTCTTGGAGTGTTTTTCTAGAGCATAAGTCTAGAACACTCATTAGGACAGTCCATGTGTTTTATGAGTAGTTTAAAGTAGTCTTGTGTCACCAGGCTTTTGACTGAAGTCTGGTCAACTTTGCTACTTATTTTGGAAGTTCGGATCATTTTAATGACTTGAATCTTTGAATCATTTTCAGCAAAATAAGCAAATTCTCATTTAAGTGATTTTGTGTAGTTAATTTAAAATGTTATATTTTCAATAGCCAAATTCCTCACACACCACATGCGTCATCTTTAATCATACTCTGAATTCGAAAATCATTGTAATGCAACCAAGTGATACAGTTTTCTGCGTTTTTTTGGTCTGAGTCTTTGATTGGTCATGTGACAGACACATAGACTCTGTACAGAACAAAAAGCATTCAACTACATATTTGGATCATGCTGTGCATTCATGAATAAAAGGATTTTGAACATGCAAGATCTTGATAAAATGTACATATCCAGAGAATTGTTCCAGAGTCATATAAAAAATTTTTTTTAAACATTTATGACTGACCTAAACTTACCAAAACCAACCACTTTTTTTTTTTTTTTTTTAAAGTACAAATTAGTAATTTTATGCAGCAAGGATGCATCAAATTGATCAAAATTAATAGTAAAGACATTAATATTGTTACAAAACATTTCAAATAAAGACTGGAGTTATGTCTGTTGAAAATTCAGCTTTGGTATAACAGGAATAAATTTAAGCAGTTTAAAATGTAATAAAATAGAAATCAGTTCTTTTAAATTGTAATAACATTTCAATGGAAGCCCGTTTCCGCCACTGAATAAAAAATAAAAAAGGTAATTGCGGCTTTTTATCTCACAATTCTGACTTTTTTCTCAGAATTGCGTGATATAAACTCAAAATTGCGAGTTAAAAAGTCATAATTGTGAGATATAAACTCGCAATTCTGAGAAATAAAGTCGCAATTCTGAGAAATAAAGTCAGAACTGCGAGATATAAACACAATTCTGACTTTTTTTTCTCAGAATTGCGAGTTTATATCTCGCAGTTCTGACTTTATAAAACACAATTACGAGTTATAAATTCAGAATTGTGAGATATAAACTAAAAAATTGCGTGGTATAAACTAAATTCTGAGAACATATCAGCCCCCCCCCACCCCCCCTCATTCAGTGCATTCATTGGCCACAAGTATTTGTTGACTTAAGCCACAATTAAAAATGTAACAATTTCCACTAAATTTTACAACCAGAAAGTGTCCAAATAAAACTATATCTGAAATAAACGAATATATTTGTATACGTTTGCTTAAAAAGCTTGCTTTTTTTAATGTAAATAGCATTTGGTTTGATACTTTATCACAATGACGTTCTCACATTGTGGTTCAAGTGCCCAAATAATGAACGGGGCTTTATTGGTGCTTTCCGTCTTTGAATAGCCATAGGCTAGAAGACCGAAAGCAAACAAAACCTACTTATAAGTTTTCTCTGTTCTACCACCCTGAACCAAATCTACATCCCTTACTGTCGATATTGTGCAATGTTTTAATTGTCCTTTCTCAGCAGCATTAAATTGGATAAACAAATTTTACCTAGGTTCATTATGGGAATGAAAGCGTAACTCCCTCACTCTTTGTTTTGGTATTTTTTACACCTGCTTTAATAAAGCTGTTGTTGAATCTGACAGATATATTGCGGAAGATTTTTCTTACCGTTGAAAAACGGCTTTAATAGAGAATGTTTCCAATTTGTTTCACTTCCCTGATGCTGATGCACTTGCAAGAACCATGACAAACAGACATGGTTACATCTTTTCCTTGCCTCTCTGCGCCTCTGCCTAGTTTAAATTTGATATTTTCTATTAAACTAGCACTTCTTCCCGTGTGTGTGTGTGTGTGTGTCTGTGTGTGTGTGTGTGTGTTATTCTCAACAGCTCGACTCGGAGGCTGCAGATATCCTCAGTGACCTGCAAGGGAAGCTTAATTCTGTTCTGGATAACCTGAGTGGCATGTTTGCCAAAAGGTAAACTTAATTTTCTGAGCCTGAATTTAATCTGAATATCATTATTACAATGCTTCTGAGTGTTCTGCTTTGTCATAATAGCTCTGTCAGAAAATCACTATTATTTTTGTTTTTATTTCTTTTCTTTTTTTGCTTTAATTCTAAAAATATTTTATTTATTTTATTTTGATGCATTTTGAATGCATCTATAAACACAAACTATAAATGAATACAATATAAACATTGCACTACAGAAAAATCTATTTTGGAAATAGTGTCGTTATCTCTGTCGTCTTGCTTGTTGGACTAATTTTGAATCTTCAATTTTTTCCCCACATACCATTCCTATGTCCCTCTCGCTCTTTCTGTATGTGTATAGTTTCCAGGCTCGTATGAATGCATGTGTGCGTCAGATGGCGGAGATCCTGTATCAGATTAAAGGACCTCTGAATCAGAACACTTGTAACACAGCGGAGGCTGATGCAGACAACGTACTGCGGCCACTTATGGAGTTCCTCGACACAAAGTCAGTTCAGCTCAACTTCCTTTAGTAGCTTTTAAGACCAGTTTCAGATCAGTTGTCAATTTTGCCACACTAAGGGTCTCCATGTGCGCCTATTTCTGTTTCTTGGCACACTTGGTATTCTAAAAAAGAGTAGAGAAAAGTGAAATAATAACCTGTCATTAGTTCAGTGGTTCTCAAACGTTTTTGGTCGCGCCCCCCTTTAAACCTATAAAAAAATCTGGCTTTTTATTGTGGGTTTCATGCTGTCCGCTAAGGCATAGGACACACACAGGCTTTCCTCCTCACCAACGACATTAAACACCGTGTCTACACCGGACGCAAGCAGCTAAATACAGTAGAACCCATTATAATCAGTGACGCTGTGTACACTGCGACACGACACGCCAAATCCATAAAATGATTTGCAACGGTCGCTTTGTCGCGTCCAGTGTAGAGCTGTTGTGGCGCGACATGTGTAGCGTCCGGTATAGACACAGTGAGTGAAGCCGAGAGCAAGATATGCCTCGTCATATTTTCTGCATTTGAATGGCCAACACCTGCCTGGGTCTGTGCGACTTCATCTATGGCTTTTCTCTTCCCTTTCACAAACCGATCCATCTCCCATTCTAAGTTACGACCTTTGGCTGTTTACTGTTTTATTTATTTTCTTTTTCTGCTGATGGCCCGCGCCCCCCCTGGCGGGCATGCCCCACACTTTGAGAACCACTGCATTAGTTGAATAGTACTGTATCTCATAAATTCCCCAGAGAAATTCCTCCGACTGCCGAATGTAAAATGTACATACACGTGTCTGTTTGCGATGTGTGTTGCAGCCTCAGCATCTTTGCGGACATATGTGACAAGACTGTGTTGAAGCGTGTGCTAAAGGACCTCTGGAGGACTGTTCTGATCTGCATGGAGAAAACGATTGTGTTACCTCAGAGCAGCGACAGTATAGTGAGCTATTTTACAGGACACATATACATGACGTTTAGTGTTAGACACCTAAAAACTCAATTCATGACACAAACAGTACTATGATTCTCTGTCCCTGCTCTCAGAACACCATGTATGCTCTTTTACTGGCACAAAGTGGTCATTATCAATGCTTATTATTATTATTATTTCAATTGTCAGTGTTAGTATACTATCTAGGAAAAGCAATGAGTACAGGACTCAAGCATTCAGAAGTGACAGCGATGATCAATCATGAAAACACAATAGTTCCTTTTGTGTTATTTATTTTATTTATTCAGTTTTTATTTATTTTAGATTTATTTTATTGTAGAATTTTGCATTTGCAAAAAAAATAAAAATAAAAAGATTGTCACAAAAGAGAAGTGACAGTGGTGATTGATCATGAAAATAATTCCATAACATTTCCTCAAAATGAAAATGTTATTTTATTTTTACCATATTTTATTTTATTTCTAAATTTATTTAATTTTTAAAAAGAGCCAAATTTTTCTTGTTTTTCGAGAAGCCCTTTTCTAACTGGTGGTAACTTGTCTGATTTGTTAGACAGCAATTTCTACAGTGTTTTTAAGTTCAAACTATATTTTAATTGAGATGGCTTCTGCGCTGCTTATGGCAAGTTGTTGTAATAAAAATGTCTAGGAGATAAATGTTTGCATAGTATTAGACTTATACTTGTACTAGAGTAGACAACATGGCCATAATGGCCTTTCTATAGTTAACATACTTTTGACATTTAGGATGTTAATAATACAATATTTTTCAGCCAATACTGGCAGGCAGAGGTTTGAAATAATTTGTCATTTTTTTATTATTACAGGGAGCTCAACTTCTTACTGCTGCTAAGGAACTGTCTAAACTAAAGGTATTAACCATAAACACTTGAAAGGTATAATCTATAGCCTAAGGCAGTGGGTGTGGCTAATGCTTCTCTCTCATTATAGGGAGGGGTGGAGCCAAAGAGCTTGTCACCAAGGCAATGTGTGATCTTGGAGGCAGCACTGGATTCAATCAAGGTGTGTTGGTGGATCTGGCATGCCTGCTGAGTTCCAACACGTTAAAGTGTCGAGTGTCTGCTTAAAAACAGAACTGTCACACCAAGTCAACACATTGCACACTAAGTGTTTGGGTTCTTGGGATCGGTGCGTCATTAAAGTGTGTGGGAAGGAGAGAGAAACTGAAAGAGTCTGAGAAAGCTGCTCACCACAGGCATGACTTCTCACACGTAATATTGTGGTCAGACAAAATAAGTTACTGTGAACTGTAGCACCTTTTGCAGAAGGAAATTCGTGCTAATTTTCTCTCTCTAACCTGCTACTGGGTAGATCTTCTTCCATGCTGGTGGAAACGGTTTAAAGAAAGTGTACCTGGAGAAGAGCCCTGAGCTGTCGTCGCTGCGTTATGCTCTCTCCCTATATACACAGACCACAGATGCTCTTATCAAGGCGTTTGTGACAACACAGCATGCTCAGGGTGAGATACATACACTTGCACACGTTCAGTGGCTGACTTTTATCAACCCTTGCACATGGCCAATCTGTATAAATTATTTGACATTTGCAAGATTTTTAAAATGAAACATTTTTTCTTGCAGTTCAAAATGGTATGGGCATCAGGATCACCCCCAAGGAGAATGTTCGACCCGACAGAGGTGGGCCGAAGATTCGTTCATCCTTGACTCTTTGAAGGGCTAGAAAGAGAGAGAGTCTGAATTAAATACAGAAATATAGGAAATGATGGGGAAAATGGAATAAATTAATAAAATAATAAAAAATAATATACAATAAATTAAAGTATACATGCATACAATCAAAAGTTAAGGGGTCAGTAAGTTTTTTTTTTTAGTCTCCTATGTTAAAAAGGCTATGATAATTTCACCAAAAACAGTAAAATAGCAATATTGTGTAATATCATTTTAATTTAAAATAAGTGCTTTCTATTTTAATATATTTTCAAGTGTAATTTATTCCAGTGATCGCTAAGCTGAATTTTCAGCAGCCATTGCTTTAGTCCTCAGTGTCTCCTCATCCTTCAGAAATCATTGTAATATGCATTTTTGCTGCTCAAGATATATTTCTTATTATTCGTAGCGGTTTTTAATTGTTAAATTTTTTTCACGTTTGTTTGAAATAGAAATCCTTTGTAACATATTGAACAGTAGTGTGTTAATATATGTATGCATTTTTTTGTGACTGCATATATATATATATACACATTTATCAAAAATATTTTTCAAAATTGACTCTCTGATGCCTTTGATATTTTTAGCATTTTATGAAAAGATTTAATTTCTCTTCCAACAAATCCACTGCTCATTACTTGATTGTTCATTAAATATTTTGTCTAATTTGATTACGCTTAAGCTACCACTAGTTTTACTATATCATTTGTCATGACACATTTTACAGCATTTCATTAAAATCCGTTCCTTAGAATTCCATATTTTTAACCACACTCACAGTATTAAGTGTGAAAACTACATACTGTTTGTGACCCTGGAGACCCTGGAGTCTTAAGTCACTGGGGTATATTTGTAGCAATAGCCAAAAATACAGTGTATGGGTCAAAATTACTGATTTTTCTTTTATGCCAAAAATCATTAGGATATTAAGTAAAGATCATGTTCCATGAAGATATTTTGTAAATTTCCTACTGTAAATATATTAAAACTTAATAATGACCCTTATGACTGGTTTTGTGGTCCAGGGTCACATATATTTGATTATAATATGTTGAATATACAGTGTTTGTGAAATGAAGTGGTTTGATTGACAGGCTCTGGGGTCCAGCGGCCGATTGGGGAAGTGGTGATTCAGCTGGATTTGTCGCCCCCAGCTGGAAACACTGAGCAGAAACTCGGCGTCCGAGGTGAGAGCACTACAGCAAAGAAGAGCTAAATTTAGGACTCTTATCTGTGCATTTAAGTGTCTGGTGAGATAATGACGATTTAATCAAGTCCCCCTGGTGTCTTTTTATGAACTCTTTATCTCTTTCTCTTCCAGTGATTGCAGTAAATGACATGAAATGGCAGACCTCGGGGATGTTTCGTCCATTTGTGGATGTTAACCTGGTCGGCCCACAGCTTACAGAGAAGAAACGAAAATTCACAACCAAATCGAAAAACAACAGCTAGATGCGAGAGTTTTGTTAAACATGAGTCTATGGGCTCATTCCACATGTTCTTCGTGGCCTTCTGAATGGGAGGAGTCTTATAGCAGGGGGAGTGGTCTAACAAGATTGATTTACATTGGCTGCCTATTCTTTGATTGACAGGCACAGATATGCACATTTAGACACGTTTTTCTCTATTGGACTTGTTCACTAATGTGTTCTTGAAATCTTATCTGTGATACCTTCAATACATTCATCACCGTAACTTGAAAGACATTTCTAATACTCCAAAGATCATAGTAATCCCCCCAAGTCTCAAAACAGATAAATACGCAAGTAAATAAAGACAAATATAGACCAGCCAGTAGTGCCAGCCAATGAGAAGGGATGTACTGTATGAAACTTTGTTTACCTTGTGCCAAGTAGTTTGTATGCTCTCTTTTTTGAGGTGTAATGGAGTTATGGTTCGTTTTGTTTGTAATATATGCACAACCAAACAGGCGTAAACACAGCCTGTAAAGTAGACTACCACGTGTGCATGTATTTATTGTAAAATCCAGCTTTTGGTCATATGTTTATTTAGGTTTTGTCAATATGTGGAAAGCTATTTATGTACTTTAAGCTATGGAAGAGATCACAGATTGAATTGATATTCTGAATTTATTTATAAATTATTTATGATTTAAAAAGATTTACTCTGATCTTTCTTTCTGATGCACATTTGGATGCATAGATCTGTGGTTGTAAAACCTACACTCATTCTTTCTAACTTTCTATATGACTATGGTTCTTCCTCTTAAACCATTTCCTCTCTTCCTTTGTCTTTAGCATTTAGCAGCAGAAACATGTCATTTTGAGTGTTCCTTCTCTCTTTAAAAGTTCCTCTAGAGCAATCCGATCCTTGCCCAGCTTTGTTGTTCAAAACCACCAGGCCATTTCACTCCTTGACCTCTGCTTTAATAAGGTGACCTGTTTTAAAAATCAATGAAACAGAGGTAAGACTCGTTTCTGTATTTCTGTATATTTTGGTTTTAGGAGTCCCCAACAACAGGTTGACATGCATGCAAGGTCAAAAAACACTTTCATTTGTCTTATAATATGCATTTATTTTTGCCTTACTTGCTCAACGACAACCAAACGATTCCTTTAACGATTAATTTTTCCAAACCCCTCCTTTGCGTGACGCTAATCGGCGGTGGTTGGTCCGATTGGTCTCATTTTCATTTCATCTTGCCTTCGTTTCAATGATTCAGAGTCGACTCTTTCTTTTGAGAGACAATAACTTTATACACGGTGCACTTTCAGATTTAAAACTTGGCAGGATGTTTTCATTCACACGGCATGAAAGGTAATTTTCAAAAATCCATAATAGGGGCACTTTAATGCTGTGGCATATAGGCTACTTTTTCACATCTAAAGTAAAGCTATTTACATGGAAAAGTGTTTAATGACAGTAAGTACTCTGTGTGTGTGTGTGTGTGTGTTAGTATGCTCAAGAGTGTTTAATAGTTCAGATTAGTATGATTAACCTGTTTTCTTTTCTTTATAATAAGGTTACCTATAGTCATTTCCTCATAAAACATGTTGCATGCATTTTTGAGCAGTGCTGTATCAGGACTATTTTAATGATTATTCACTTACAGGACGGAAATAAGTCACTGGCCTGCTTCCTACCTAAATTTATGCTTGAATACTTGGTTATAGTTTGCGGACAAATTCGTTCCCAGAAGTGAGCAAAATATGATATATATATATATATATATATATCCGTGGACTTGCTTGACTGTGTAACTGATTATATTTAGCTTTATATAAAAACAGCAGTCCTTGTTTAGATGGTTAAGTAAACGTGTATATTGTGTGTGTTTAGTCTGTGTGTGGCCTTGTGGTCATAGTGAACATGCTCAGTACTGCTGTACTTTGTCAGTGGTTAGAGGGATGGGGGAAAAATGGCTAGCTTCCTTTTTTGGTGTGCAGGAAATCGATACTTTTCTAGCAAGTAAGTGGGTGAGAGAGAGAGAGAGAGAGACTCTGAGAGATGTAGAGTTCTTAAAAGTTTGACAGTCTGAGTTTTTTACACAGGAAGACAAGAGTAAATGTTACCTCAGATTAACTATCACTAGAGTGGAGCAAGAAAGAGAAACAGAAGAGAGCACTCCAAGTTGCTGCCCCTCTTCCTTGTTTATCTAGAGTGTGTGTTGTGGGGTCTCTCTCTCTCTCTCTCTCCCTCTCTCTCTGTGTGTGTGTGTGTGTGTGTGTGAATGAGTCTAGGCTGGATGCCTGCACTCCCTGTTTCCCATCAACGTAAAGTGAGAGCAGATGGAAGACTGAGAAGCGAGAGAAAGGAGGAGGAGAAAGAGAAAATAAAAGGGCAAGACAAAGAGGAGGAGACTCTTTGGCTGACTTTGGCGATCTCTGGCTGGAGAAAGAAGTGCCACACTAGACCTACACACACTACGATGTCACTGTAGGACATTTACGGTAAGAATCCTGAGGGTAAAGGTGGGGTCAAGGTCAGTAGAGGGGGATTCGTCAGACAGTCCTGGAAAACACAGGAAGTAAACTTGTGGGTGTGAGTGTGAAAGAGTTGTTCGTTTTTTCTCGTCTGTCAGCAGTCTTAAAAGAGGGGTGGGAAGAGTGAGAGGTTCATGTAATACACAGCCTGAGGAGGAGTTTTGGTTTTTGTTTTCGTTGGTAATATTTGGTGTCAAAATAGACTAAAAACGTTGAGGTGTTTTGAAATTTGCATTCTGTTGGACTGTACAACTTTTCTAACCAGCCTGCTGTCAGAGAAACATATGGCACACAGGGTTTAACTCTCCTGAAGTTACCAGGTGAGTACTGATGTAAACCACTGCTGTTATTTTGTGACAAAAAAAAACTTTATGAATACTTGAATGAATAGTTTAATTTGATCACTTTTTCACAATAGTGATAACACAAGATTAAATGTTTGAAATTCTACGTAACTCACTGGAAGCATCTTAATTTTGGCAGGTCATGTAGTGTACTACACCTCAAACTGACTTGTGTGTCTGTTTAGTGTGGGGTCTCTAGGGATTATATAATATAAATATAAAAACGATATTATATATATATATATAATTATATATATAATGATTGGTGGGGTCAAGGTCAGTAGAGGGGGATTCGTCAGACAGTCCTGGAAAACACAGGAAGTAAACTTGTGGGTGTGAGTGTGAAAGAGTTGTTCGTTTTTTCTCGTCTGTCAGCAGTCAATAATAATTTATATATTTAAAAAAATTGCTTGAGCATCAAATTATCGTATTAGAATGATTTCTAAAGCATCTTGTGACACTCAAACCTGGAGTAATGGCTGCTAAAAATTCAGCTTTTCTATCACAGGAATAAATTACACTTTAAATGTATCAAAATACATCATATTTCACAATATTACTGTTATACTTGCAGTATAATTATACGAATTTATTCCTGTGATGCAAACCTGAAGTTTCAGCATCATTACTGCAGTCTTCAGTGTCACATGATCCTTCAGAAATCATTATCATATGCGGCTTTATTATCAGTGCTGGAAACTGTTGTGCTGCTTAATATTTTTTTTGGAACCTGTGATACTTTTTTTTCAGGATTCTTTGATGAATAAAAAGTTCAAAAGAAGAGCATTTATTTAAAATAGAAATATTTTCTAACAATATACACTACAGTTCAAAAGTTTGGGGTCAGTAAATGTTTATTCTTTCTTTTTTTGAAAGAAATTAAAACTTTTATTCAGCAAGGATGTGTTAAATTGATAAGAAGTGATAGCAAAGATTTATATGGTTAGAAAAGATGTATATTTTGATTAAATGCTGTTCTTTTTAACTTTTTATTCATCAAAGAATCCTAATAAAAGTATCACCGTTTCCAAAAATATATTTGGCAGCACAACTGTTGCCAACATTGATAATTCTAATAATAAATCAG